CTGAATACAACATCACCCTTCCCAGGCAGAACTACGTAATTCACTTTAGCATTCAGCGTTGTGTCTAGATCCAGAGCATGGATTGAGCCAATGAGCAAGCCTGAAATATTATTCTCCCTGATTTGCATGTCATATGAAGACTTTTCAAAAAGGGGAGGGTTATCATTGACATCGGAGATCTGAACATTAATCAATCTTGTTGAAGTGAGCCTAGGAGCTCCCCAGTCAATGGCAGTGATGGTGATGTTGTATTCAGTGACCGTCTCTCTGTCTAGGGGACTTTGGAGCACAAGCTGATAAAAGTTGTTTGTGGTAGCTTTCAGCACAAAAGGGAGATTCATCTGCACGGAGCAGACTGTTTTGCTGTTGTCTCCAGCGTCTTGGTCTCTCACACTTAAGAGGGCCACCATTGTGTCCAGAGGAGAGTCCTCCTTTAAAGTGCTGATCAGAGATATGATGGACACTTCTGGGGGATTATCATTCTCATCTTCAACCTCTATAAATATCTTGCAGTGACCCGACAGTCCTCCTCCATCCATTGCTTTGATGTTTATGCTATAACTGATTTCACTTTCATAATCAATCTGTCCCCTAACAGTGATTTCTCCAGTCCTTTCATTTAAAAGGAATAAGTTATTTATTTTTTCAGACACTCGATGGAATGAGTAGAGTATCTGTGCATTTGAACCAAAATCAGGATCTCTAGCTTCCACCTTAATCAGCAGTGTGCCCTTAGGAAGATTTTCCTTTATTCTTGCCTTATATTCAGATTGAGAAAATTGAGGAGAGTTGTCATTTATATCTAGAACATCAATATTAATTTGAACAGTGCCTGTTTTTTGTGGCACTCCTCCATCAATGGCCGTCAGAGTTAATTGAAGATAAGGCACCTTCTCCCTGTCTAGTGGTTTCTGCAGAATAAGATCAACATTTCTCTTTTCATGTTCATCAGTCTGTACTTCTACTATGAAATGTGAATTTTTAGTGAGTGTGTAATTTTGGATACCATTTTTTCCTAGATCAGCATCTTGAGCACACTCCATCTGAATTCGGGTGTTCACCTGGACATGTTCTGATATTTGTATAGTAAATGTATTTTTTGCAAAATTAGGAGCGTTATCATTCACATCTTCTACCTGTATTTCAATACTATGGATTTTCAGTGGGTTTTCTAGAACAATTTGAGAAAAAATTAAACAAGGCTCCTTTTGACCACATAAAGCTTCTCTGTCTATTTTATCATTTATCAACAAATCCCCATTTTGGGTATCAAGGTGGAAATATTTCTTAGTGTTGTCAAAAATTAAACAGGCTCTGCGAGTAGAGAGTTCTCCTTTTTTCAATTGCAAATCCTGCAATATATTAGCCACTACAAACCCATTTTTCTTTTCTTCAGGGACAGAGTAATGAACTGAAATACACAGTGTTCCAAAAAGACTGAGGAAAAGCAAAAGATACAGACCTTGTTTGTCCTTGAGGAAGTGATCTTCCATTGTGTAGGAAATTTCTTTATCTTCAGTTTTTGCTCCAAATGTAACCCTCTTAATTTTTATCCAGTGAAAATGCCTGCTGGCAAGAAAATCTGTTTTGTTTTGCAATGTAGATATTTGATTCCACTAAAATTTCACTCATATTCTGCTGAGTTTTTGTTTCATTCCCTAATTTCATCTGTAATAATCATTTCCTCAGCATTCCTCAAAGACAACATTCTGAGTGTCTATTAATATGTTAGCCTGTGCTGCCACTACGTGGCCAAACAAGGAAACAAATCACTTCTATATTTCTAATTGTATGGTCCCTATTGCACAATAGACATACCTTGAATATCTGAGGTATAATACTTAGTTATTTGGAACAGATTATTTGATTTTAAAAGTGCAGCAAAAGTTAGTAAAGTTTCTGGAAAACACGCTTATGATCTTTAACTGAAAAAGTACTGAATGCTTTGTGCTATAAATACCCTGACTTTTATTTTCAGTCTCACTAACTTTTGTGTTATTTATTAAAAATGGTCTTTATTAAGAAAAAGATAAAATTTGAAAATGAGATTTTTATGTGAAATTTCCAGTTAAATTCTATGGTATTTTGTTGGTAAAGATCTTCTAAAAGTATATCTGGGAGCCTATTCCAGGTGTTTTAGTTGATACCATTAACTTTTCTACTAGCAGAAATAGTTTGGAAAGTCTAACCATAGAAATGTAACAAGTTACTTAGAATAGACAAGAATAGCAAAATCATTAATTTCCCTCAATTTATAAAAGGAAAAAGAATATAAAGCATGTTAAAGTACCTGTATGTTACAATAACAAAGAAAAAGAGAAGCATTCTGAAGTCAAATTTATATTTTTAAGTATATTAAATTCAGTCTACACTTTCCACAATAAATTAGAACAAATTCAATTAAAAAAAATAGTGCAATGGAAAATTCCCAATACCATTTTCAAATTAACCATAAAACAAAACAACCCCCCCCCAAAAAAAAATTATGACCAAAAGGTTCTGCAGATTTAATCTGGAGATTCATGTGAATGCTAGTAGGATTCATCAAAACAGGAGACGGAGGTCTGAGAAATCTGAATTCACTATTCAAAGATTCACCAACTTCCCATTACCATGTAGTAATCATTATACAATTCGGAATATAGATAAAATACAACTGTGATAAATGGTAATGACCTAGACAGTACGTTAGAAAGGTATATACACCATCTATCTATAATGTCATGTCATATGAATACATATGGGGCAAAAGGAAGAACAAAAACTATTCATTGAAATCCTTGCTTTGATTTTATTTATTTAGTGTATGGCAATTGGGTCGGTGTAAGCTCTTGGTGGGCATTTGGACACAATATGATGGATATTTTGTCAAGGAGCACCACAAGTCACACTGAGGGGGTAGAGACAAGACCCAACTTAAACAATGAGTCCTGGCAGGCACCATGTTGGGTACGGATCCTGTTCAGAGTTGACCAATGTTGGTGAGAAAGGTCAAAACCTGGCACCTTTTGTGTAGGATCATCTGTGTAACTGCCTGTATCTGGGCGTTCAGCAGCCCATTTGGCTTTCCACTGTGTGTTGATGTCAAAGTTGTTAGACAGCTGTTGAACGAGTGCCAGAGAGGGCTTCCTGGATTTAAGCCTGCCAATTGATATATGCAAAAGATCAGCGTGCACAGGAAGAAGTGGGTTTCTCAAAATTGTGTTGTACTCCTTCACTAAGGCTTCCTGCCTTCATAGAGCTGGTGGTGCAATGTGGTTCAAGATGGGCAGACAGCAAGTAGGAGTAGATTTTATGCAACCGCTTATGATCCTCATTGTATCATTTAGTCTAGCATCGACCTTGCTAGTGTGGCAGCTATTAAGCCAAATAGGGACAAAGTATTCAGCTGTGGAGTAGACCAACCCTAGTCCTGATATTCTGAGAGTAGAGGCTGAGGCTCCTCATCTTGATGCTCGTAGTTTCTGGAGTAACTTGTTCCTGGTATTGATTTTAGGGGACATGTTCTCTAGGTGTTTTTTATAGCAGAGAGTCTGATCCAAAGTTACTCTAAGGTATTTGGGGTGAGGATCATAAGGGAGTAAGCTGTTATTCAGGTAGGTCTTCGGGGTGGCATTGGCGAGTTTGTTGTTGAGATGGAAATAGGTGGACACCGTTGTGCTGATACTGGGTATGAGTCTCCAGTCAGCAAAGAATTTTCCCAGGGACTTCAGATCCTCAGAGAGGAGGCAGTCCAAAACTTCCAAGTTTTTATCTTGCGCTACTAGGGCCAGGTCATCTGCATATCCAAATTTACATCCCCTTGTAGCTGGCATATCTGAGATATAAAGATTGAACAGTGTGGGTACAGAACCTTGTGGAAGGCCATTGTTGAATCTTCTTAACTTGCTAACATTGTCCCCCCTAATGAACTGAAAGGATCTATCGCTGATCTATGTTGTTTATTAGGCAATAGAGGATTTTACAGGAGATGATATGACTCAATATATTCATATATATCCCTGATACATCCACCACATCCACAAATAATACTCCTGGTATCATTGCCAGCCCGATGCAGATGCTTCATTCCCTTCATGGCTTTATTTTTACTTTCTTTTAACTAAAATTTATTTTTAAATAGAAAAAAAGCATCGAGATTTTCCAGTATAACATCATGCAATTATTATTCTATTGCACCTGATCTCCTCTATCTTCAAATCACCTCTGTGCCCCTAATCATTGAACCTTGAAAAATTAACAGATCAGATCTACTATGCACATCCTTTTTAAAAATGCTGTTAGGTATCCTGAATAACTCAACTCCTTTACTTCATCCCTAATTAAAAAACAAGTAGTGAAAAAGATAATGGGAACATTGAAAATGATGGTAGTGGTACACAGTGCAAATACTCAATTTAGAATAAGGAATATTTTTCTGCACACACAATGGCTAGGTTTATACAATATATTAAATCCTTAACCAACTAAACTACAAATAAGTGCTGTGTTCACCCAAATGACTATACTCAAATGTGACTTAATAAAATGGTCTGATTCACACAAAACAGTGATGATGATTGGTTCCTATTTTATGTTGAATTCAAATTATTTTATTGCATATTATCTTAATTTAGCAAATTTGCAAACCAAACCTTACAGTACTGACAGGAAATCTGCAGAAAGAAATGCTTGGAAATAGTTCAGTTGATCTTTGAAATGGATTAGTTCATCTACTGATCTAGTTGTCAGAGTTCCAACCAATGCCCTAATAAAAGTAGGAGACCCAAGCAACGTTTCAAGAAAAATCCAGTTGTTTATTAGTATCGTCATATCAATGGACCAAGTGAAGCCAGCACTGACCCCACTTAGTTCATGCCTTGCCTCTGACCCTGTTTCCCCCTCCCCGCAAGGTGTGTCATCAGTCACATTCCCCAATGAAGCAATTTCACAGGTCGTAGAAGTCACTCCCACCAACCATTACTGGTTTCTGTGGAGATAGCCTTGACTTTGGCCAGCTAGGACGTGTGTTGTTTTGAATGAGGTGCAAATTCCTTGATGCAGCTGCGAGGTGAGGCTTCCCATCCCCCTACCTATGGCAACTTGGAAGCAGGTTAGGGAAAGTTCACGAGTTGACACCAGTCTAATTACAGACAATAGAAATGGAGTGAGCAGAATAATCATTGTCTAGAGTTGGGCTTCATGAGGCAATGCCAATGCCAGGGGTTTGCACATAATGTTCATAATATTTACTAGGACTGCATATTATTATTGGGCAAGCCATATCTTTTGCAAAAGTAGCAAAAGTAGCATCAATAAAAGATTGTAGCTACTTTATAGGATGACTATGTTCATATAATATGCTCAGAAATTAATTCAATTGTTACAATGCTCTAAATTGCAACTTACTGAATGTCATTTCATTCAAATTCAGGACATTGTCAAAACCCAGCCTCCAAATTAAATCTCCAAACCAGAGAAAAGAATCTTGGTGAAATCATATGAAAAAATACTTAAAGGTAACTCACCTGTTCATGTAATTGGTTATCTGCACCCTGCTCAGAAATAAGTATCTTCACAACCAGAATTCTTGTGGTACCTGGGAATATTTACATCTCTCACGGAAAAGACCGGAAAGAGGGGCCTGAGAAAATGGAACTCGCTACTTAAGGATCCACCAGTCAAACAAACATCATAACGATAAGTCCAGGAAAATGACCCATTCTGTGAATCAGCATAGTTCTCGGCAGTATCAGCACTGGCAGGTGGGAAGTGAGGAACAGCCTCAGTAAAATGGCTTTGGAGATCCTTCTTGAGGATTTTGACTACAATAAACACAACAATGCAGACCAGGAACACAAAGGAGACTGCAGCCAAGCAGATCACCAGATACTTGGTCAAGGTTTTATCTTCTTCCGGTTCTTGCACACTGACATCCACCCTCCTCAGGAAGGGATCCGAAAAGCCATCCACAAGAAGAACATTAAGCAACGCCGTGCTGGTCTGTGGAGGAAGGCCGTTGTCTCTGACCAGTATCACCAGCCTCTGCTTACTTGTGTCTCGCTCATTCAGGACTCTCCTGGTTTTCACTTCCCCATTCTGCGCTCCTATGCTGAAAAGGGCTGGGTCTGTGGCCTTCAGCAATTCATAGGAAAGCCAGGAGTTTTGGCCAGAATCTGCGTCCACTGCAACCACCTTGGTGACCAGATAGCCGGCCTCGGCTGACTTGGGAAGCAGCTCATTGCATGGGGATGTGTTGTTCTGGAGGGGATACAGGAAGAAGGGAGCGTTGTCATTCTCATCTATGATGTGGATTCGGACAATCACTTCTGAGCTCAGGGAAGGAGAACCACCATCAGATGCCCTCACAGTGACTCTGAAGCCTCTTATCTGCTCATAGTCCAGGGATCGGAGGGCATACATGTTTCCAGTTTCAGAGTTGATTGAAATGTAAGAAGTCATCATGCCATCACCCTTCCCAGGCATAACTAAGTAATTCACTTTAGCATTCAGCGTTG